TTTTCACTGGAATATTACTTTTAACTTTAATGAAATAAGTTAAATATTATTTTTAACTCTAATGAAATAAGTTAAATATTGCTTTTAACCTAATGAAATAAGTTAAGTAATACTTTTAACTCTTCGGTAGCGATATTTCTTCAAAAGGATTCCTTAAAATTTCTTTATTTTCAGGAACATTTTTCCTCTAGTTGTTTTTTTTTATGTACTATTCCCCCCTTAAAACGAATTTCCGATTTCAATATATACCAGTTAAATAATTTTAAAGGAATTTCATAACAATTTGAAATAAATATCTTTATGTTTAATTTATGTACAAATTTTAACCATTAAAGAATGCGTGCTATCAGATAATTTAATTCTATTTCAGAATGCATGCCACTAAATCATTACATTAAAAAATATTTCATAACTTTTTTTTTCTTCATCGTTTTGTTTTCCTTATTCATTCATTAAAAAAAAAACTAAGAATACTGGGAAAACTACAGTTCCTATGAGTAAGTTAAAAGATAAACGAATTGCTATTTAGCATTTGAAAGAATAACATGTAACGCCAGAAAATTCCCTTCAAAAAAATTTTTAGAAAAAAATAAAAACCTTAAATTTTAATTAATTGTTCCATTATAACCAAACAATTGGACAGATGTTGAAGTTTTTATTCCATATATGTGTTTACCGAAATGCTAAAACACAAAAAAAAGTGTGTTTTTAACCTTTTATAGAGTTTTTTTTATTATCAACGAATTTAATTAATGCGAAAAAACAATATGTCATTGACAAAAGATAGTTTGTGAAATTTTAAGAAAAATTATTGTACATTGAAATCGTGGAGTATTATTCACATAGTTTTTTTTTCTTTCTTTTTTTCAAATTTATTTTTACGTAGTAAAAGTAATGTTAAAAAAAAAGAAGCATATTTTGCATAAAAGGATACGTTTGCCGAAATGTATTCAAAATGTTAAAAATAAAATTTTATCAAAATTAAATACAGAAGGGGTAGTCTAATTAAATAGAGGTCTATTTAAAGGAAAATGAAAGATTCAAATTAAAAATCTTATACCTAATTTGAGAGATCCCTTCATGAGAGCCGATCCCTTCATGGCGCAAGAAGAGATCGGCTCCTCTGCCCCTAACTTAAACGAAAATACATATTTCAAATAAGAAAATCAAACAGTGATATAAACTAACAAGAAGATGCAAAAACAATGTAGGAAAAAGTAGGAACCACAACTATAGGGTAACTCAAAATTTTAAGACCCTGTGAACTTCGGTAAACTTACCGAAGAATGAAAATAAAGAGGCTGTCCGATTATACGCTTATATTATTGTTTTATATCAGACTGCTAAATTATAAAAATTGTTTAAATTATGTTAACACTGGAATTAACAGTATAATAGTTAATCAGGATACTAAGAGAAACATTTTCTTTTAGATTTCATAACTTACTAAAACCATTATTGTTCATTTGCTTACAGAATAATATAGAGAACGTACATCAACACTCATTAGTTTTAATTAGCATATTATGATTCAAATGAAATGGATACTGAAATGAACTGTAAACTGATTGCTTAATTATTATAAGCACGCATTGAGATATTTTCAAAATAATCCTTGTCATTTTAAGATCAAGAAATCTTCCAATTCGGTGGAATACGCATCAAACTAAAATATCTTGCAATAATGTCATACACGTATAAATTGTTTTAATTTGAAAATCCGTTTTTTTTCTCTCCATACAATAATTTTCATATCAGATTAGCCACGAGTTCTAATTTGCCAGAGTTTGGAATGGAATTAAAATCCCTCTTGGTTGTAGTAAAAATAATTATTTTCAACAATTATTAAAAAAATTGATTCTACTATTTTAGGAACTTATGATATATTATACAGGAATTTATGATAATATTTGTGCAATTTAGGAATTTATGATAATATTTGTACTTGGGCCCTCATCGAAATAATATTCATTAATCTTGACTCGATAAGAGTTAAAAGGGTCGATGTTTTCCGATATCGGCCCAATATGGAATCGTCCATTTCACTCGAAATTTTACAGCCACTTTCCAACCAATATCGACCCTGAATAGAATTTTTACTGCCCAATATTAAAAACCATTCTAGGACCAATATTAAAAAAAAAAATCTGGAAATCCCAATATTGCATGGTCTTATAAGACTTAGATTGAGGCAATTTTGAGACCAACTGGGGCCAAAGTAAAATTGTTGCTGGGAATTCTTTATTAACTGTAATGATGGTGGTTTTAAATAAGTTCTAACTTTCGAACTTAATTTGTAGAAAACCTTTTGAATAAAATACAATGCAATTAGGTAGTCAAACTAAGCTATCTATAATAAAGATACTATAAAAATGTGATTGTAATCGAGATATTCATACATGAGAATCAAACTTTTTTAAAATTAAAAGTACAAATTTCCCTAATACAGTAAAATAATTTTAAAAAATGGTATTTTAGATTAAATAGTGCAAACTTTATCGTGATAATACCAAATAGTTAAGCAAATTTTTTACATTAAACATTTCACTTCAGGAACAATTTCCTGATAAAAAAAATATATATTCGTTGCAGATTTGAACTTTTTTAACATTTAATCATTTCAAATCATAATGATCGATATAAATCATAAATTTTATGCCGCAATTTGATCCCGCAGTTTTCTGGACATAAAGCTCCAAATATGAATTTATTTTAAAACAGCTCAACCTTTATCATAAGAATCTCAAATTTATTTTATATTTTAAATTTTATAATCATTTAATCTTTTAAAATATAATTCATAGTTGTGTTAAATTTTTAAAAAAAATTTAATTTGAACTGATTCAAACTATTTTGTCTTGCAATCACATTCATTTCTCCAATGATCAGGAATAAAGTTTTATTTTATTTTATTTCTAATTCAATTCAGCATTTTTTTTTTTATTTACTTATTTGTTTTAAACAAAGATGCAACTGCCAACTTATTTTGCTATTAACCAGTAATTTAGGTTTCGAAATACAATTCACGAGTTGTGTTAAATCTCGAAAAAGAAATCTAAGACGAGAACTGATTCCCACTTATCTTTTTCAATCATTGATTTAAACTTTTCCGATAATTAGAAATAAACTTCCAAATTTTCTCTTCCGTTATCAAAAATCCAACACTGAAAATAAAGCTCAATGTAGATTTATTTTATGTCTAGTATTCAATTTCGAAATGAATAAAAAAAAAATCCAAGACAAGAACTGATTCGCATTTATCTTTTTCAATCAGATTCAATTAAATTTTTGCGATAATTAGAAATAAATGTTAAAATTTCTTTTCCATTGTAATCCAACCAAGAAATTAAAAAAAAAAAAGGTCAATGTGGATTTATTTTATATCTAGTGTACAATTTCGAAAAGAAGAAAAAAAAATTGAAGACAAGAACTGATTCACAGAGTTATCTATTTCAGTCATTGAACTGTTATTTATGCATTAGAAACACATACATTTGCAATAAACAGCAGCTAGACAAAGAAGCTTCACAACGTCTTTAAATAAATATTTGAACAAGAAACTGCGATGGATTTTTTTTCACACGAAAATTGAGTAGATGACTGAAAGTCTGATCACATTTCTCTTTAAGGATTGATTAAAAAGATATTTTAGGAGCATAAATATTACCAAGTTAGCAAATCATCAAAAGATAGGTAAATATAAAAAACAATATAAACTTTTGCTACCAGAAAATTATAACATGGCTGTGTACCTTTTGAATTTTTAATAACTATAAAACAATAGATCAAGAGTAAGAAGATTGACGTTAGATTGAAATATAGGTATGAAAACTATCACTATTTTTCTTCGAATGTAGGATTAATTAAAAATATTTTAGAAGCATTAATATTACCAAGTTAATAAATCATTAAATGAGATAAATTATAGAAAAAAAATATAATGAATTTCTTTTCTACCAAGAAATTAAATTGCTTTTCGAATTTAATCAATTTAATGGAAAATGCAAAATCAAAATTGAGAAGATTATTGTGAGACTGAAGAAAATGCATAAAACACGGTCACTATTTTTCTTTGATGAAGGATAAATTAAAAAATATTTTAGGAGGATCAATATTACCAAGTTAGTAAATCGTTAAAGGAGAGGTAATTACAAAAAACAATATAGTAAATTTCTTTTGTAAATAGTAATAGTGTTCGGGATAATTATCTTTCTAATTTTATCAACTAGTTAGAAAACACTGGACCAAAGTTGAGAAGATTGTAGAAAGAAAAATACACGTGAACCGTGTCACTATTTTTCTTTAATGTAGGAATAATAAAAATATATCAAGTGCATTGATATCACCATATTAATGCATCATTAAACGGAGAACTGAAAACAAACTGAACAAATAACTGAAAACAGCCCTATTAGTTTTTATCAACAAATTTGAGATAAGAAAAATATTTTATAGCGAAAACATTGTTACTGTGCACATTATTTTGCATAATTAATTAACAATACTAATTATTTCTTTTGTAAGTAAAAGTTTAAGAAACAAAATATTTCAACGTTTTTAAAAAAAGTTTCTTTTTTTAAGAATGCATTTACAAAATCGTAATAAAGGATAAATTATAAAAATGATATATTTTTATAACGAAAATTGAAATTTCTTGAAATTAAATTCGAACTTTATTATATTTCTAAAATTTGAATTTGATTTTAAGAGCAAGCTATTAAAAATGATAATATTTCTTCACTGAAGTTAGAAATAAATCGTGACATGAGATATTTTAAATATAAGTTCAACATTTTTCAAGATCACTTTTTATTTTTCCAAAAAATAAATAAATAACGATTTTAGAAAAAAAAAATTACAAAGCTTTAGTAGCTCTCAAAGTAAAAGGGGAGAAATGCCGGAATTTAGCCGACCGAAACACCCCAGTACGGCCCCGAATGAAACATACACCCCCCTAAGAAAAATAAAATAATCATCAAAAAGATAGAAATTCCACTTACTTGGTTCCCATATCTCCAGGTAGCAATTTGCAAATCCTCAAAAATCAAAACAAATATTCCAAAAATCCACTGAAAGACAACTTCCCTCAGAAGAATTGAGTGAAGGGTTATAAATTATAAATAGAAAACACTTGACACAAGAGATGCTGACACAAAACAAAACCACATGCCCGATATTGAGAATTTGAAAACTTTTACCACGGAACGTATCCGCGCGCCTAGATGCTCATGGTTGCTATAGTTGATTTTTCCGCCAAATTCGCCAAAGTGGATATTTTATCCCCGTGCTCTTTTTCTATTTTTTGATGAGATGATAAGCAATCACGAAGTTGGATATCATATTGCATGTCTGGAAATAATTGATCCCATTAATGTGGGAAATCGTAAAATGAATTATTTCTTAATTCATTATACCAGTGTTTCCATTCTAGCTTTGCTTTTAAATAAAAGTTTTTTAAATTTTCGTTTGTTGCATAAGAACACAAGATATTTCGCATAATCACGCGTACCCCCGCTAAATAGTTTCCGTACCCCAGGGGGTACGCGTACCACACTTTGGGAAACACTGCATTATACGATTGAAGACTTATTACATAGCTGTTGAGGGTAATAAAATTAGGGTCTATAATTTATATTTTGTCATCTATTTTGTTAAAGAAATCAACAGAAAACATTCTACGTGAAATTGTTTTTATTAATGCAGAAAATAATGTAATAAATCATATTAAATGGGGAAAATGAAACTTTTAGCAACATATTTTGGAAGCATGCAGTCCATGGAAGGAGAGGGATGAGGAGGAAATTAAATTAGAGCATTCAAATAAACTTATTGGGATTCGGAAGCATGTGAATTATTTCTGAAACTTATCAAGTCTGGGTGGCTTTGTTTTATTTAATTTTAAACTAAATCAAATAATAGCAGTAGGAAGATCTTGATTTATAAAATAAGATTTAAATACAAAATAATAAAAAAACACGACTTTTTCCCCCCTTCCTGTTCGTTAGCTTTAAAATCAATATCATTTAAAAATTCCTTCATGGATCTCAATCATCATTGAAATTCAAAGAAAAGTTTTAATGTAATCGCCATTAAGAGAAATAAAATCCACGCTCTGATGTTCTCTTCTCTTATTATTCTTTCTATTATTCTAATTATTTTCGCATTATTGTTGAATAATCTCTTCGGCGAAAAGCATTGAACGATCTATTTAGTTATCAAAAATTGAATAAAAGTTTAATAAACAAGTTTGTTGAGGAAGTTGCGAAGGTAACCAAGCAAAATGAATTGATTTCAATTTCACCCCAATAAAAACAGAAGCTAAATTTGAGGAAACAAAATCTTTGATACGACAAAAATTTAGGGATCTTTTTTATCAAATTAGCTTTGATTTTTATGTAACATTCACTGTCGAAGGGGTGGAGAGGAGACGACGATAGAAATTTCTGTACATGCTTTTATTCCTTTTTATTTATTTATTTTTAAAATTAACTGGCGGTGAATATTTGCTATGCTCTGCTGTATCTTTCGATACACGTAAAATACAAGGTGACACGACTAATCAAAATTTGAGATGTAAGATGTATGGTATTTTAGTTTCCTTTTCATTTTTTTTCTGATAAAAACCATTACCATTTTTTCTGATAAAAACCATACCTGACCCATACCATTTTGGAATTAGCAATTTTTGAAAAATAGTTTAGAACTAAACATTTGTCTGTTTTTATATTTTTTTATACAAATATCTTTGTTTTTGCGTAATTCAGGGCCCGACTTAGCCTAATTGGGCCCAGATCAAAAACTTCTTTGAGGGTGGGACCCCCTCTTCTTTACTTCAGTAATGAGGATGCGAACTTCATGGAGGTATTTAAATTCTCACCTCATTCTACATATATAACAAGAAAATTTACTAGAATCTAAAATAGATATAAAGTCCCCCCCCCTCCATCATGCCGAACGCAGTTTTCTGATTGCTAACTATGTCATCTAGCTGTGAAAAATTCATATCCTTGCTGACATTAGGGCGGAATTCACCTAAATTTGTGCAATTATTGTAGCTTAATTAAACCAATCAGAAGTCTCTATTTTTGTAACCATATTGCATTTTGCGATACGTAAAAATACAGGCTTTTTAATTGGCCAAATTTGTCCATTGTAATTGCAAAAATTTAGATCAATTCCGTGATAGAAAGTCATGCATTTACGAAATACAGATTTTTTTTGTGTTCATACAATAGATTAATGAAGAAGCTAACATAGAACTGACGGATTTTACACTGCACTGATATTTTGTTTAAAAAAAGTTCATTAATGAAGGAAACATAGAATAAATTTTCTATTCGATTTGGGGGCTTTCTCTGACGTTGGGACGGGGGCAATTGCCCCGTATGCCCCTGCCTAAGTCAGGCTCTGGTTTAACTTCGTTAAAAAAAGTTTTAGTTTCATCCAAACTGGTTTTCTTAAATTTAAACTGTAACAAAAATAAATTTTAAAATATTTAAAAATAGACAAAGGTGTAATTTTAAATTTCTTATCTAGAACTATAAATCGCATAATTTTACTGTTGAATATTTTTGAGAAAAATCTATAAAAGCACTAAACTTTGTTAAGCACATTTTCTCGTAAAATATTAACACGATATCTTCATTTTAGGGTAGAAATGTCTTTCAGTTTATATATCATTACGTTTATACATGATGCTTGCCGCATATAAAGCATTATGTTATCTACAACAACAGCGATATTTTATTTTATCTCTTTCCTTATTTTATCCATTTTAAAATTAATGTTTTTATTGGCCTGATTTTCGATAAGTAAAAGAAACACCGTCAAGCAAATCTCAAACGGAAGTATTTTCACTGATGTTTGATCTGGAACCCCTCAAAGATATGCATCAAGTATATAAAGAGTTTTAAGAATTTCGGAGACAAAGGAATGTTTAAAAGTTTNGCTGCCAGCCATCTGTAATGAAAAATTAGATATTAATTAGGAATATAATCGGATTTCTATGCGATCCTAATGTATATGTTACCGTTAAAGTATGAAATCTGTTATTTTATAGAATACCTAGTTATTCCATGAAATAACTGATCGTGTCCGTTAAAGTGTAAAACTCTCTTGTATTTCATGGTTTAACTAGTTATTTCATAGAATAACGATCTGCAGCCTGTTAAAGTGTAAAATAATCTATATCATGTATCTCGCATGACAGCATAACGGCAGCAGAAACGGCAGCATAAAACAATTATATTCCCGATCACAGTTCAGTGTCTGTGAACAAAAATTAATTAAAATCGAAGAAGTACCGGATGTAGAAATATCGCTCTGTCGGTTGCTACAGCTCAAAGTTTCGGTACTGGTCAGGGATTTAAAAAATGTTCGTGTAAAACCCAGTGTGTCAGCAAAAAATGTTTTTGTTTTAGAAATAATATTCTTTGTAATTCCAAGTGTCATTTTAGTAATCCTTGTTGTAACAAATGATTTTATGGTACGTTTCCATAAATACCATTTATACGCTGCATAAATTAGATAAATTGCTTCTTTATCATTTTAATTGTCTCTCATTAGTTAATTTATAAAACACCTAGTTATTTCATAGAATAACTAGTTAAAGTGTCAAATTAATAACATATTACACACTTTAACGGACACGATCAGTTATTTCATGGAGCCCTGAGTTATTTCATGGAGCCATTTCCCCTGAACTTGATAAATAAACAAATGATAAATAAACAAAATTTGAAAGGAGTCTTGAGTAAATTCCTGATAAATTGTTTATGCTGATAACGTATCAGTTCTTTTTTTTGGGGGGGGGGGAGAATAAACCATCACAACTATTTAAGAAAGCAAAAACATGTCACAAATGTTAATTACAATTTTCTGTTTCTTTAGCCAACATTTAGCCTCCGTTCATCTCCCATCGGATTTTTCAGCTAAGGTTCAATTTTTTTTTGTTTTAAGATCAGGAAGGAAGGAGTTAAGAAATCATTCTTTATTTCCAATGCCCACCTGTGTTAACATATTCGTCAATTCAGGCATTTACAGGCCAGATTTGTTGGCTACTCTTTCAGGGGCACCATATTAGGTCGCCCAACGTTGCTCCCGCTGAAAGGGCAGATAGTACAGAGAATGAAGAACAGCCTTGCCTTGTCCGGGATTCGAACCCAGAACCTTTCTGATGCCAGACCAATTCCCTGACCCCTACACAGTCCGGTTGGCATGAGTAAGAAATCATAAGGCAGTTAAAATTTCCCGGCTGCCTTTAAGTTCTGGGATAGAATTCTTCTTAAGTGGTTGAGAGGTAAGTTTTTGTCTACCCATTGCATCAGTAAGGGTTAGGCTATATTGGAGAGCTGAAGGGAGTTTTGAGATTCTTTGTGTAGGTTGTTTAAAAGCAGTAAAAAAGTTTATGAAATATTTATAATGAATCTGAGCGAACCCGAGCTCGAAACTTACGAGCTCGACTTTCTTCTTAGTATGCGAGACAGAGTCAGTGTTGGGCTCGGACTAAGCACTTCTCATCTCTAGTAAATATGTGCAAGTACAAATTTCTACTTAAAACCCTTATACCAGTTAAAACTCTTCAGATAATTTGAAGATAAGTTTCACACAAATGTAAAAAAGTACATCGGAGACAATGCCTCACTTACTTGTCTTTATATTAGAAATTCAATTCTCTCCCTCTAATCCCCCCATTTCCTTGAAAAAAAGGGAAAGCATATGGAGGGGAGTATAGTTTGTCTACGATAAGAACTCCCCCGCTACAAAGTCTGAGGCCGTCTGCTGCTAAGTAAACAAGAATAGAACATTTTAGGAAGGGTAGCTTCTCTTCACTCTAGGGCTAATATAATAAACAGAAGAAAAAGATTCCCTTTCTCAGACCAACCGGATGTCCTAAGCAATAACCCCACACCCCTACTTTAAATAGTTATACCTTGTTCCCCTAGTCACTATCCAGACGAAGGGCTAGGGGATTTCTTACTATAGACAAACTATAGGGGAATTTTCAAGTATCATTTATGAGGACATAACAAAGCTTTCTATGTAAAATATAACTTTGATAATAATTTTTCCGAAGAAAGTACCGAATTCTTGCAAACTATTTAACTTATGGCCGTTCAAATATTATGAAAGCACGTAAGGGGGAGAGTTTTGTGATTTGCTTATTGTTACTTACTAAGGGGCGGAGAGGTGTGAGCAATTCTGGCTTGAGACACTGAAATCTCTTTATTTTTT